AGTGCTTTCTCCTTGTTTGTTTTCTTCCTTTCTCCTTTCTGTGCTTCACACCTTTCACTGTTCTTTTCACATACATGTCACATCATTTAGAGTATACCTGGGTCAGAGCACGTGGAAGGATTCCTCTCCTCATCCTTCCACAAACCTCTCTCTCTGGCCCAGGTATGTTTCCATCTGTTTCTCTTCTTTCTTCTTTCTTTCATCTTTCTTTTCTTTCTGATGCTTTGTGTCTCTCTCTTCATTTCATGAAATGAACTTATCCTTCCACAAACCTCTCTCTCTGGCCCAGTTTTGTCCAACAGTTTCACTTCTCTGTCTCTCTCAGCTTAGAGATGTCAGCAGGTACCTGTTTGCAGGTACCCGGTACCCGTTTGCAGGTACCTGTTTTCCAAAGCAGGTACCCGGAAACAGGTACCGGGTGCGGGTGCGGGTGTCAACATTTGCGGTAAAAAAAGGCAGGTACCCGGGTACCCGCCTTACACCCGCCCTGGGAATGCTTCCCCTGAAGAATTTCATTTATCATTGGTGGTCCAAAACTCCCTTTTTTGGGTGTGTTGGGCTGCACAAAGGTGTCAGCAACCCATGTAGGACACCAGCTGGTGTCTTACATGTGTTGCTGAACTAATCTGGTTGCTTTGTTGAGGCTGGAGGGTTCCCTCCGGCCTTTGAGATGGTGTACAGTCTTGATGACTGGAGGAATTCCTCCAGTCATAAAGACGGTGTACAGTCTTCATCAATGTAAATTGAATAAGGCAAATGAGTCCAAGAAAAAGGGTAAAGCTAAAGATAGATCAGAGAGAAGATAAAATTCAAATTGATGATAGAATAATTTGTTTTTCTTTATTTCTTTATTTTTATTTTATTCTTACTCATATATCTAGTGAATATCAATCTTATATTTACCAAGTCATGCAGAAATTCAAGGGTGAGATTTCTGGGTATATTTGCCTGCAAAAATGTGCCAGGTACCTGCAGGTACCCGGCGCAGGTACCCGGGTACCCGCCCTGGCTGCCCTAGCAGGTGCGGGTGCGGGTGCGGGTGTCAAAAATATTGGATTTTTGAGGCAGGTACCCGCACCCGCTACAGGTACCCGGGTATTGAGCGACATCTCTATCTCAGCTTCTCTTCATTCCTCATCAAAACCAAAGCCCTGATCAAAGAAAGCAAGCTCTAGCTTCTATTATCTCAACTCTTCCTGTTTGGTAGTACAACCAAAAACTACGTTAGGTTTCCCTTTAAAGAGACTTGATCTTTGATCTAAAAAATTGTGGTTGACCTGATTCATCAGTGTCAATAACCCATTTCAGTTTCTGTTGATTTGGAGGCGTCAGAGTTAGCTCCGCTTATAACAGCCATCCTACAAGGAAAGTAAGACTGTCAGAAGCCATCCAAAAAGGGACAGTAAGACTGCCAGAACTTTAATCATCATCTTAAAATAGATAAAGAACAAAAATATCACTCATTTCTTTCACTCTTCTTCTCCCTTTCTCTTACTTTTATTTGTATCCCTCTTCTCATAAGAAATACATATGAAAGTGCCCCAAATATCTTGTGTCCTGTTGTCACTATAGAGACCCAGTCTCACACTGGGAAACTTGCTATGTCAATTTTCACATATATAAATTGATTCCAAAGTTTTCTGCCAATCCCATTAAAATTTAATGAAAAAAATAATCTGCAACACTTCATGTGATTCTATAAATTTGATATAGAAAAGATTGGGGGTAAACCTGAGTGCATTGAAGATATAAAAAGAGTCTACAATTTAAAAAGATGCTCACTTCTTTTTTCTTTCCATCCAAAATTTTCAATGTGATTCTCAAATTTTGCACAAACTATAAAATGTGGTAGGATGCTCTGATCTGTCACGATCACCAATATGTAAGTCAGTCCTTCAAGTTCAGGTGCGTTGATAATTGCACGCCTCCCCCCTCCCCGCCCGCCCACGCCCATGCCCCTTGGAATCCTGTTTTCCCTGGGAAACAGCCTTCCAAGGGGCGGCTGGAGGGGCGGGTGGGATTGCGCGCCATAACTGGGAGGTGAAGGGAGAATAAAGTTCTCCCTTCACGGATGTAAGCAAAACTTGCCCAAAAGTTTTGCTGACATCAGTGAAGGGAGAACTTTATTCTCCATTGCACCCAACATGTTTCCCTCCCGGCCGGGAGGGGT